CCTTTCCTTTTATAAAATCAACAAAGCCACACTCCAAAAAAAAGAAATATGAATTAATATCCTAACTTGAAGATCCAGAACAACGTACCAAACCATAGCAAACGACATCATTCTCTTCTAAGTACAGTCCATCAAAGTTCCTGAAAACTGCGTGAACCCCACAAACTAAGCATCCAACACTGAACCTAATGACCAAATTCTCCACCATGCCGCACAAAGCACTCAATTAGGAGCTACCAGAGCCTAGAACAAGAACTGATCTCGGCACATCTATACCACATCTATACCGACCTAAAAAAGGCAAATTTCCATCTCATTTACCATGCGATGCTGAAAAGTAAGAAGGAATTTCAAGAAATGGGAGGAAACAAAAACGGGAAACAAGAAAACATCATCGCCACACCCACCGATCGCTTATGCTATGGCCCCACAACACCAAACTGTCTTCTTTGAACAAGTAGAGGAGGATCCAAAGCGCAATGATGACGGAGAGGAAGGCGAGAGAGAACGGGGCGATGAGGAGGGATAGGGCGCAAGCGGCAGCCACAACGAAGGAGTAGCTGGCAAGGAAATAGCGGAGATTGCAGCGGGCGTGGGTGGGGAAGGAATCGAGCCACGAGTAGGAGATGGAAATGGAGGTGATTTCAGAAAGGGACGAAAAACAATAGAGGCCTTAAGAGAAATGATGTCGTTTTGATTTAGGACTCCAATTTTTTTTGGGAGGTAGGACTGATGCGCACTTACCCAATATATATATGTATGTATGTAACTCCGAAAAATTCAGATATTTTAACGTTTAAAACGTTTATTATAATTATTTATTGAGTGAATTCTGAGGGTAAAGTTCACTCTATGAAGGGCATCTTAATTTTTATATTTTCATATATATATATATACATATATAACTACTAATGGTACTATTTTGTGGTTTATTTTATTTTATTTTTAAAGTTCAAATTCAATTTTTGGGGACTTGGGGGAAGGGGACGACCACGGCCCAACGGCCCTCTAACCCGGGCCGAATGAGTGGTAAGAGAAATTCAAAGCAGTAATTATTTTCTTATTATTTTTTGAAATTAAGGAAAATTAAGATTTCTTAATAATTAAAGTATCACGATTGATGATAAAAAAAAATTAAAATATTTTTAATAATTCCTTTTAAAAGATTCATGAAAAGTATTTGAATAATTTTACAGGAAGTTTTAGTGTTTAAAATGCCAAAATATCTTAATTTTTACTTTTTTTCCTTTTTCTTATATAATGATGGACTATATAATAATTTAAGTTAAATGTCAATTTTGGACCCTCAGCTTTTTTTTTATATACTTTTTTAGTCTCTCAACTATAAAAAAAAATGTTACTTTTTTAGTCTTTTCATTAATTAGTTTATTAAGTTTGTTTACATATACATATTTTTAATTCTTGAATTTTTAAGTTAAGGTACAAAAATCGTGTAAAATTCTTAAGTTAAAAAAAAAATGTGTATATATAAACAAAATTAACAAACTAACTGATGAAATGATTAAAAAAATTTATTTTTCATAGTTGAGAAACAAAAAAAAAAGTGCATAAAAAAGTTAAAGAACTAAAATTGATATTTAGCTAATAGTTTATCATATCCTCTCTAAATCTATCTCAAAATCCAAACTTGAGATCTTGTTAAGATTTAAGTTCTTAATTACACTAGGAAATATCTCTAAGGAACATTATTATTGTTATTACTCATAAAATTATGTTTTTAATGGCCAAATAGATCAAAATATTAAAAACAACATAGTATAATTAAATTATGAGAAAGGTAAAAATAGGACATTATGGCACTTTAAATATCAAGACTCTTTATAAAATTATTCAAATACCCTTAATAAATTGTTTTTGTGTGTTGACTCTTTAAGGGTATTTTGGTTTCTTCATTATTATTCTTGGTATTTTAATAGCTAGAACGACCCTCATTTTCTCTAATTCCTTAAATTATTAGTAAAAAAGTTGTTACTTGAATTTATTAAAACCTAACATATTTTTATTTTTGATAGTATAGATAACATGAGGATAAATTATACAATAGAAAATAAAAATCATTTACTTATTTTAAAGTTAGTACTTGAAATCTTTAATTTAGAGTATAAACTATAAACTCTTATTTATTGAAAAACCTTGAGAGCTTGCTACTCTTATTAATGGATTTTTTAAATTTCTGTCTTAATGATATATGTTAAGGTGTAATTATTATTGTATTTTTTATTAATTAATATTAAAAAATAAAAATCAATTATTTAATTAAAATAATTCACATGATATTAATGATGAAATTAATATAAAATTTTTTTATTTTTTAAATATCAATTAATATATATTTATATTTTTTATCGGTACAATAATTATATCCCTAGCGTTACTTAAGGGCGTGATTAAAAAAAAAAAAACTCTTTACTAATTGATTGCACTGAATTGAAAATTGAAATAAGTATCTGGTTCCAAGCAATGCATTGGATAACATTGATTTGGAAGTCATAATTGCATGTAAATGGAGCATTGATTGCTACATGTGCCTCCGTGACACACTGGCGGAGGCTGCTCATCACATGCCGCCCTGTCAGCCGTGGCCGCTGCCATCGTATTGGTGTCTTCGCCTCATTTTCCCAGACAGTTTGCTATAATTCAACTCCTCCCTTCCTTTTCCTTAATATATTATTCCACCATATGGACCGTGGAGTGACGAATTCATCTAAGTTTCTTCATTATTGAAAAGCCTGACTTCTTTCTTGGTGTTCCTTTGGATAAGTTTTTATAATTACTATTGCCCCTGGAGTGCTAGCAATGTAGATGGCTACAGAATAATAGAGTTAGCCCAGTTTCATATCTAGGCCGAGTACGGGTGGTCCTCACTGTCTTCTTTTCTGGACTAGTGTGGCCTATATGAGATTTTAATAGACTCAAACTGAGCTTGGCCTGTTTTCGTTAAGCCCTAGTATTCAGTCTAAAAAGGGTCAACAAAAAATGAACTGGCATATATATAATGTTTTTACATAAATATGAAAATTTGGACGTTTTGACACTTAAGACGTTCATTATAACCATTTGTGAGTGGATTTTACTCTTGTAATCTACTCAATGAATAGTTGTGATGTATGTTCTAAACGTTAAAACATCTTAATTTTTCGAGCTCTCATGGTTTTTTTTTTTTTTAAATTTTTATGTCAAGTGCAAGGAAAATAGAAGTAAACACAGATTTGACTACTCTAAGTACAATACACAATACACTAAATCAATAAAAATTTAGAGCCTATTATTTATTCACGTGAAATTAACAATTTCAAGATTATAGAACTTTAATTTTTCATTTTTTAGTCAAAATTACAGAGCTTTAATTTTA